ACGCTAGTTATCAGAGCAGTAGTAGCATACATCATGCGATCCAACCAGCAGTAATTTGACACACTTTCTCCCGCGAGGGACATTCGAAATGATTCCAATAGATGTACGATTACTGAGCACGATATCTTCCCCCATATGGAACCTTCACGAAACGAACAAACTTAAGTTTTTAGAATTACCTTCGATCAGCAGACAGATCGCAGACAACGCAAAAACGCCCAAAAAACAAAAGTTGCAACGGCTCAAGAATCTTCGCTCATCGACCTGCTGACGGCCTTGCCAGACAATGACAGACACTTCACGTTAAGGTTGTAAATCACCCCATTATTTAAGATATATGTAAAAGTAAATTTAAATCCAGTTAAATCACGCGTCTTCTGAGGGGCGTAAGTTCGCTCTACTCCCACCCACAACGATGAGCATTCCCAGAGTTCCCAGAGGACTTTTGGTTTCAAAAATGGAGTGAAGCATAAAGACTAGACTAAAAGACTGGACTATGGGACTAAAAGACTGGAAGGATCGGACTGGAAAGGATCCTCCTACAGCCTCCTCAACTATAGACGCGTTTTGATTACAGAATCTTCCGTCGATTTTCAAATAGAAATAAAGCAAAAGGATTTTAATTCGCGTAAACTTTAAAAAGTTTACGCGAAAAAACTCAGATAAATACTCTATTTGTCGCTGAGTACTAAACATGTTCTCGATTAATTTTTCCTTTCGCCCGCATACGTCCAACGAACTTTGTGAATAGACTTTAAAAGGCAAGTAGGATGGCATGATCTCCATCTCCTCTTCTCCAAAATTTTAACATATAAAAGCACAAGTTTTTATTTAACCGAGTGTGCAAGCGGTGTGTATTTGAGTGTGTGAGGGGGAGGAGGAAATTTGGAATTTTTTTTGCCTGAAAGCCCTTGGCATATCAAAGAATCAGAATTTGGCGAGTTGAAACAAAGTCTGTTGTGGGAGCAATTCGAAAATAAGGAATGTACCCAAAGTCTTCTTTTCGATGATATCATGGGCAGATGAGGTCCCCAAGAAGGTGAATCAGTGAAAATCATTCCATTTTCAATGGAAGGTCTATGAAAGAAAAGGAAAAGAATGGTTAATAGATAGTTACCTTTCAATCATCGTTTAACCCTTTAATTCCAGTGAGTGACCAAGACAGAATTTCTCCTTACATTATCAATACAAAATCAAGAAGACAAGTGATGAGAACCAAGAAAAGTATCAAATAGAGGATTATTAGTTGATCCAATACCAAATTCTCGGAAGTAACATGAGAAGAATTGTATAGCAGACAGTAAGGAGAATTAATTAAAAGATCTTGGGGGTTAAAGGGTCAATGCACTTCTCCATTATGAAACAAACTTTATCACCCGAGCTTTAAGTTTTCACAACTTAGGAAAAAATTAATAAATAAGTCACTGGCAGAGATAGGCTAATAGGGTGATGTCTGTGAAGTAAATTTCAACCGGAATACGAAACTACTATGAACTGCATCGGTTTTACCTTAACTCTTTAATCCTCAACATCAGTATCCAGATTCTCCATACTCTTCTCCGTGCATTTCCTTTGGTACTGACAGGGTGAATTTGTTTAACAATCAAAACCTCTTAAGTTGGCGATTTTTTTACCCTCGGGATCTTAACGAATGATTCAGCAATATTATTGTTAGGAGAAATTAGATGCTGATCACTCTCAGGGTTTAAAGGGTTAACGCACTATTTCTCCAGAAACTACGCACCACTCTCTCAATAAATCAGATGCTAGACTGGAACCAATTTCGACTTAGTCACTCGTGTCTAGTGCTTTGGGATGACTGTTTTGATTTTACTTCAGCAACTTAATGACTCCTTGTGTGATATTGTACTTTGCTTTGACAGGACATTTTAATAACTTGGGTTTTGGTTATACAACGCGCACTACTCGAAAAGCGCTTAAGAAGAACAAACGAGAGGTTTTTCTTAATGCCGGCGATGCAGTCGGATACGTAATGAGAAGAGCAAAGCCTTAACCCTTTACACCCTAACATCAGTTTGCATATTCTCCATACTGTTCTCTGTACATTTCCTAAGGTGTCGACAAGGAGAATTTGTTTAACAATCAAGAGCTTCTCTGGCTGATGATCATTTTTCTTATTCTCGTGGCATTTATTTGTAATTCAGGGCTGATATTGTAAGGAGAAATTAGATGCTAGTCACTCTTAGGGGTTTTAAAGGGTTAAATACCATCTACTGAAAATCATACAGCAGGAAAGTGAAGTAGCTTACGGCGCTAAGGACGCGGTTACTTATGATCCCATGAAAACTAGATCATCGAAGTCATAAGTCATCAGATGGCCTGAGAACTGCCACTGTGATTGGTTGGTTCGTCCGCTTCTGCTTGCGACTCCGACAATTCAGTTTTCATTGGATCAGAAGTGTTTGAGTCAAAGTGACTAAGGAAACAAAATGGAAACGTTCGAAATCTTCGGACTCTAAATCTGTCGATTTCGATTTTATTTTACGACGCTGCCAACATTTTGAGGCATGACTCACTTAATTTAAGCATTGCGCGGACATTGTTGCAAGCTGAATCACTCTCAGAACATCTTTCTGCTTTAAGACAAAAGTGTGAAGTAAGAATGAAACCAGCGCTTTGCTCTGACATAATCTTGAACTTCCACCGCTTAGCTCCACGACTTAATCACCTTTCACAAAATCAATTGAAGAGAAGTTTTAAAATCCTCCTTGCAAATTTATTACATATCGTCAAAAAGGCTGTTGTGCTAAAAATTGATTACATGTCGTCAAAAAAGCTGTTGTACTAATCGTGGTAGTGAAGTGCTATCGCTTGACTCACGATGAGATCACTTCCAATGTCAATCGCAATCAGGTAGACTGACTGCGCGTCACCTTATGAAAGACTGACATGATATTTCCAAAGAAAATTTCCACTCTACTTAATACCTGGTTAAATAATAGAAAATTTTACAAAGTAGTCGAGTATTTCCTTCGTCCATGATTCAACTTTAAATGCGACAATCACCCTGCTATCACGAGGAAGATTTGCTTATGTGTCTGAAACACTGTTCCTTCCAATCAGTTGGTACGAAAGAATCCTTCACTAGGCTTGTTCCTGTTTAAGACGGTCTCCGATACTTCAACACCATTTAATCCTTCATCACGCTGACAGCTGGGCAGTTGAGACGTGTAGGCTGTAATAGAAACAGTAGGAAACTCAGTAAAAAATAAAGAATTTTGTTTTCGTTTTGTCACAAGCCTAAGACGAATTGGAAGAGTCGAGCCCCTGACCTGCGGATTTCGCGCTCCGATGCTCTACCACTGGTTTGCAGATAACTAATTGGTAAGCTAAGGTGTATGGAGGGTTCAAATGTGACAAGAACCTTGCATACTGCTAGGATTAGCAACATCAAAGTGTCCCGTGTAAACTGCGAATAAGAAAGATGATATCAACCAAGCTAAAAATTCAGTACCGTTCGCAAATCATTTCATTCCGCACTGTAAACAGTAGTCTAAATTACCGTAGCGCTACTAACCCTTCTCATTCCGAAAAACCTCAAGTTAAAACCTGGCTCCAAGAGCAGAGTGGTGCTTGTCGTAAATGAAAGCTAATTCAGGCTGATGAGTAAAGAAAATAACTCCCACTTTAAGCCAAACTTAAATTAAAAATTGGTCCAGGCTTTCAAAATTCTAGTTTTGGCACAGCATAGCCTCTCCCATCATGCGTAAGCCTTTAACCCCTTAGAGTGACCTGCTTATAATTTCTCCTTACAATATCACCCCTGAATCAAACATGAAAGTCACGAGAATCAAGGAAATGATCACCAACTTATAAAGCTCTTGATGTTTAACAAATTCTCCCGGTCAGTGCTTCAGGAAATGTAGAGAGAACATTAGGGAGAATATGCATACTGATGTTATGGTGTAAAGGGTATTTACTCTTAAGAATCTAAATGACTTACCCTCTGTCAAGCGTCTTCTAACATCAAATCCTGTCAAGGACTGCGCTTACGTCATTGCGGTCACTAACCGCAGAAGATTCCAAGTCCTTACTTGCCAGGATGTAACACACAAGTCCTCCTCTGCTGCATTGCAGTTTGGTCCAGTTCAATTGAAACAAGTCCCTCCCGTTGACTTCTTAGCCAAGTTCTTAAACTACATCCAACCAGTGGCTCGCCTCCTCTCACAAGGCTTGCAGCGCTTTTTCCTCCACGAGAAATTTAGAATCAGACACAGTCTCCACCCCCGTCAACGTAGCTGTTGAATGTAGACACTGACGCGTTGTTCCAGGTCAGGTTTCCAGTCTTCTGTAATTATAATCGCTGAATGTACAAGTGCAACCACAACCTCATGTTAGGATACTCAGTCGGTGTTGAGAATGTTCAAAAGATGTGCTTTTCGCTAAGCCACGCTCATTTAGGGTTTTTCATTGCTCTCACTAAACAAGTTAACTTCAAGAAAAGTTTTGATCGACGATGTGATCCTTGACGAAATTTGACACAATTTGTTTATCCAGTCTTCGTATGAATTAGTGTGGTTGTTTAGCGTAAGGTTTAATATGGCAAGTGACGTCATCTGTGCCACAACACTCCTCAGATTACGCATCCAGTCTCCACGCATGCCACTGTGGTTGCTGACTGTAATACTCAGCGTGGTTATCGACGTGTTTTGTGCCAAACCACTTCCCAGTTCGCCCATCCAGTCTCCACTCATGTTACTGTAGTTGTTGAATGTAATACTCAGCGTGGTTATCGACGTGTTTTGTGCCAAACCACTTCCCAGTTCGCCCATCCAGTCTCCACTCATGTAACTGTAGTTGTTGAATGTAATACTCAGCATGGTTATCGTCGTGTTTTGTGTCAAACCACTTCCCAGTTCGCCCATCCAGTCTCCACTCGTGTCACTGTAGTTGTTGAATGTAATACTCAGCATGGTTATCGACGTGCTATGTGCCAAACTACTTCCCAGTCCACCCATCCAGTCTCCACTCATGTAACTGTAGTTGTTAAATGTAAAACTCAGCGTGGTTATCGACGTGTTTTGTGCCAAACCACTTCCCAGTTCGCCCATCCAGTCTCTACTTATGTAACTGTAGTTGCTGAATGTAATACTCAGCGTGGTTATCGACGTGTTTTGTGCGAAACTACTTCCCAGTTCACCCATCCAGTCTCCACTTCCGTAACTGTAGTTGTTGACTGTAATACTCAGCGTGGTTATCGACGTGTTGTGTGCCAAACTACTTATCAGGTTGCCCGTCCAGTCTCCACTCATGTCACCGTGGTTGTTGACTGTAATACTCAGCGTGGTTATCGACGTGTTGTGTGCCAAACCACTTCCCAGTTCACCCATCCAGTCTCCACTCATCTCACTGTAGTTGTTGACTGTAATACTCAGCGTGGTTATCGACGTGTTTTGTGCGAAACCACTTCCCCGTTCGTCCATCCATTTTCCACTTATGTCACTGTAGTTGTTGACTGTAATACTCAGCGTGGTTATCGACGTGTTTTGTGCCAAACCATTTCCCAGTTCGTCCATCCAGTCTCCACTCATGTCACTGTAGTTGTTGACTGTAATACTCAGCGTGGTTATCGACGTGTTTTGTGCGAAACCACTTCCCAGTTCGCCCATCCAGTCTCCACTCGTGTAACTGTGGTTGCTGAATGTAATACTCAGCGTGGTTATCGACGTGTTGTGTGCCAAACCACTTCCCAGTTCTCCCATCCAGTCTCCACTCGTGTAACTGTGGTTGCTGAATGTAATACTCAGAGTGCTTATCGAGGTGTTTTGTGCCAAACTACTTCCCAGTTCGCCCATCCAGTCTCCACTCATGTAACTGTAGTTGTTGAATGTAATACTCAGCGTGGTTATCGACGTGTTTTGTGCCAAACCACTCCAAAGACCACCCATCCAGCCTTCAATCATGCCAATGCAGTTGTTGAATGAGAGGCGTAATGTAGCAAGTGACACGAATTTCGCCAAAAAGTCACCAACACTTCGTCCCCAGTCCTCCTCACTTGAGTAAATGGGGCTATCAAAGTTCATACTCACTTTACTTACACGTGAGCAGATAGTCTCGACGTTTGTAAATGCTGATGTTAATGACGAAGAATCGGCTACAGATAACTCAACTTCCTCGCATATTTCGTCAACTGTCCTTACGTCATGGACATTTAAAGTAGACGAAAATTTTTGATTGCATGTTAGGGCTTCAAGAGTGCTCTCTCCGTCTCTTGTCACCTCTCCCCTAATGTTGATACTCAAGTTGGACAGTGACTTAACTTTGTCAAAGTTCTTAACCAAACAGGTAGCAACACCATCTGTTACTCTTCCATGGATACTCAAATTAACGCAGGAAATTCTTGAGGCTATCAGGAGTTTGCATAAATCACTTGCTCCAGTGCAACTCAACTCTCCCCACATCTTTACAGTAAGTGAGTGAAGTTTCAACACGCCAAGTTTTTCTTCAAGTAGAAGAGGACGAAGACAGGCCACCTGCGAAGTTGTTATTTTGCTGACTACATCCGGCTCAATTGTAAGAGACAGAGATGACTTTTTAGCAACATAGAGAGCTTCACAAATGTTTATCCAATTCTCGGGGAGTCCTCCGAACACTTTTAAGACCAGTGACCTTAAAGTACTATTTTCTACAACACCCTTTTTCAACGAAATGAAAGCAGAGCAGCTGACGCTTCCACATACAGTCAATGTGAGGGATTTTAAGTACGGATTAGCTGCAAGGCCTTCGGCGACAGAAGTCGCCAATGAATCGTGCATGTCTCCATAAATAGTGAGGCCAAAAGATTGAAGCGATCTGTTCAATAACAAATTGTTCAAAGCCACCATCTCACTTTTCCTTACTGAGCCACTGATCTCCAGCACAACAGATGTCAGCGGTGTATCTCCAGACAATCCTTTTTCAAGAACAGTGGCCCAATGCTCACCTAACCCCCCCAGTAGTTTTAAAGTCACGGTTTGTAGTGTTTTGTTTGCGGCTAAACTGTCACCAATAGCAGCAGCCTCCTCTGGGAAAAAGGGACGACTTGTTTGAAGAGTAAAGGAATGTAAAGATGAGTTCACTTGAAGTGCGTTATACATAAGGCCAGGTATTTGTTCTGTAAAAACTCCAGAAGAAAAGACAATAGTTTCTAGCCTGGAGTAAGAGGTTAGAAACTCGTCAACAAAGGAAAGAATCAATATGAAATTAAAACATACAGTAAGATGAATAGGCAATTGTAATAGTAAGAAGTTCTTGCAAGCATTTACAACTCTTAGAACACCATCAATTGATTTATTTCTGTTCCTATAGGTTACTGACTGTGGAAACGGGATAAAGGAACAAAGAGTCATTGCCATTTGTTCTGCTTCTCCGCTTTCACTGAAACACTCAGTGAAGAAAGTCGCCTCTTGCTCACTACAATTTAGCCAGTTCCAGCATTCGACCTTAAGATTCTCGCCAATCTGTCTAAACAGATTACAAGTAGCCTCACCCAGTATGCCAGACACAAAGATAAACACTTGGTTGTATTTTATTGTGATATCATCAAAGCTCAACTTCAAATCCTGAAAGACATTAACCTTCTCTTCCAGTAGCTTGTGTGCCAGATATAATGCCGCCAAGTACTCTTGAAAAGTCTTGTGGAAAAAGTGATATTCGTGCTGAGGGTTAATCTTCTTCGCACTGGCCTCTTTAAATACCAAACCAAGTTTACGAGCTGCCAAAGGTTTCTTTCTTCTTTCAAATTCTGCTAACTCTTCTTCTCGAAACGAAAACCGGTCGTTTTGTAGACACCTCCACGCTAACTGCCCCAATGCTAGTAAACTCTCTTTAAATTGTTCCTCTAGAGCTTTGTCATCAGCAGCGGCTTTTACATTGTTTTTGGCACAATACCTTCGCAAAAGGCAACCAACAATAACGTGATAAAGTTCGGTTCGAGAAGATGGTAGATTTCCTTCATAATCCTCAAAAACAACACAGAGAAGAAGCAGATTCAATGGATTGCTCGGGAGTGCATGTAAGAAGGTATTTTCCAGGATGGACTGAATAAGCCTTTCTCCCTTTGCTACATGATCAAGACCTAAGTGACTAAAGTGCTTTCTGATGTACTCAAAGGAGTCTACTTCCGTGAACCCTTCAATTTGCAGAAGAACGTCAAAGTCAACCTCCTGTCGCACTTCAATTCCTTTTTCTTGACAAGATGTCGCCAAAACATAGCAAAGTGGTAACATTCTTCTGCTTAGTAACTTATTCACGTGACTTCCACCTGCTTCCGGTAGCTCATCAAGGCCATCTAAAATCACCAAAATTTTCTGCTGGTTGTGAACATCTTTGATGTAATCTAACAGCTTTTCCTTGAACTTTCCCTTCATAGGGAGTAGCTGATCAACAATGGCATCTATTATATCTCCACGAATGTCTCGACATTTCAGCAGCAACAAAAGTTTGAAAACTGAAAAAGCAGATTCACTTGGGATTTTTTGGTTTGCCCAGTCATGACAAATTTTAAGACAAAAGGTTGTCTTTCCAATTCCAGGGCTTCCCTCTACGAGCACCATAGAATTGTCCCCTTTGTTGAGAGTTTTAAAGATGTCAAACATGTCCACTGTCCTGTCTTCCAATCGAAAGTTTGTTTTCCGTCTCGACACTATTGACAAATTTGTGTAAACATCATCAAGAGGCAGCTTTAAGGTGTTATTCCAAAGAAGCGGTTTTAGAAGACATCTTCTGTTGTACTCAGCTCTGAGATGTTTTGTAATCACAGAAAGGTAATGATCTAGGGGAAAATTATGAAAACAAAACGTCTAACTTCTGTCCATGTTTCATGCAACCTTTTTTATGGATTTAACTCAGAATGGAGAAGAATTTTCAGGCTATCTGCAAATGACATGTGATTACACATATTATGAAAATGGTTCATACATTTAAATCAAAACATTTAAAAATTTAACCTTGAATAACTGAGACTGAAATAGCATAACTTAATTGAAGTTAACAAACACAGAGGGAATGATCCACTGGAAATGGTCCAAAACATAAATAGGAAACATCTCCACTTGCTTACTTTCAAGATGATTAGCGATGGAGAAGACCTTTAACGCTACGCTGTACGTGCAAATAACATGAGATTTCACAGTGACTTCATTTAGAGCCTGTTGGTGGAATTACCACTAGGAAGACCACAGTGACTGGTGTATCAGTCAGTTAGTCTACAAGTAGTGCATACTTGCCCCAAATTAATGAGTTAATTGACCACAGTATCAATTTGAACTAAAGTACCAGGGTGATTACTACATGTAGCAATTACCATTAGCTGTGGAATCACCTTGAGTCTGACCACTTTCTTGAAATAATGGGATTTCCATACCTGCAAGGAACAAGGTACATTTAGAAGCTAAGTTCTCATGACTTGCTGCTGCTCACTGCTAGACAAGCCTCACAAACAATATTAACCCTCTAATCCCTAAGAGTGACTGGCATCTAATTTCTCCTTACAATTTCTCCCTGAATCAACCATGAAGATCACAAAAATAACGGAAATGATCACCAACTAAAAAAGCTCTTGATTTTTAAACTAATTCTCCTGGTCAGTACCAAAGGAAATTTAGACAAAACAGTAAGGAGAAAATGCATACTGATGTTAGGGTGTGAGGGGTTTTTACTACTTCATGTAGCAACATTCCAACCAAGTAAATAAAATAAACTGGTCAAAAGCAGCAAACTTAGATTCTTTGGATCCTCTCAGAAAGGGTAAACTAAGTGGGTCGAGTTCCAGAATTAAATAGGTTTTGGCTTCTGCTGAGCTACACAGAGCTTTCAACACTGTGAAATTGTATCAATTGCATTGTTGATCTAATTGTATGTGGTAAGTACCTTCATTTTGATCATGATAGAAAAACTCTCGTCTAACTCGCTTAGAAAGCTGACTTCCATAAGCAATGGCAGCAGCAGGTGCCAAATAACTTAATAATAGCTCAATACTAAATACTGTAAAATATTGTAAAATATAACTTTTAGCACACCTCTTATTGCTTTCTGTTTATAACAAATTCAATTATCAAATAACTGTTTCAACACATGCTGAATGTAATGTCTCTGATGTCTTGGCTTAGTAGAGGTACATTAAGGAAGAGATTGCATTCCATTGATATAGACCAACATATAAGAAAGCCTTCCTGACATAATAATAATACTTTGTGTTTCTAAATATAAATAGTCAATCTGGTGCAATGTTGTAAGTGACCCCAGTTTTGGGAAATTACTGATTACCTTTGTGGTACGTACCGTCTGTCAATTCTTTTCTTGGTCTCTTACAAGCCTGACTTGTATCAGCAACAGATGTTGGCCTCTTATCCCTGACTGGCTTGACTAACCTGCTTCCTGATGAACCTACATGTGATAAACCAAATTCATAATTAATTTTGACTCTATTTCAATCAGCTATTTACCATATTTCATAAACGTTGGTGTGCAAAGATAATCATTCAAATTATAGCTAGCTAGAGTATTTAAACATTAACCACTTCAAAATATTATCATGGAAATTTCAGAGGATATACATCTGGTATGTCTTGGAGGATGCCTCACAAATAATTTTTGATAGAATTTGATAAGATTTCCAATTGGTCAAGAAATTAATGAGGGTATGGAGCTTATCCCAATTTCTACAAGTCAAATCAACCAAAGGTATCGTAAATTGTTCCTACTGGAAATAATGCTACTTAATTGCAAGTTACCCCTCCCCATTTAACCTTTACTGGTGAACCAAACAGTTTACTAGTTTTATATAAACGTAAAAGCTTGGAGGAGAAAGACACCTTGAGAGTTGTATGTTTGTTCCCAAAGAAAAAAAACAGAAGTGTCAATCTGAATACTAGTCTCCCAGATATATTACTTATGTTGAACACACCTACACGTACGTGACCAATAGAGAGTCTGTGCTATAATTATTTAAAAACACCAACTGTCTAGTGAATGACAAGAACATGCTGTTTCATGTTGCAAAAGTACATTGAAGTTGCAGTCCTGAAATTGACTCATTGTTTAATTATAACAGTGGAAAGTGGTTATAATGGATAAAACTTTTACCAAATGCAAGTGCCTGCATCTTTTTCACCAGGACAGTACAAGGCCTCTCCCAGTCATAAGCTTTTGCATAATGTTCACGAAGATACTTTGCTTCTGAAAAGCGAACTTTCCTACGTTTTTGACGTACATCTCTGATCTTTTTGGCCCAGTCTTTGGGATCTTCTGAGTCTACCACATAGTGCGAGCCAAAAAGTACTTTCTTCAGAGCTCCTCCAAGTCCTGAATTACCACTGATAAGTACAGGCAGACCAGCAGATAACGCTTCAAGGCCACACAATCCAAAACCCTCTGTCCTTGATGGCATTATGGCAAGATCCACCTCACAAAATAAGTTGGCCAGCACATCTCTGCTGTCATTAATGCTGCGAACAATTAGCTGATTATGACTGATGCCATGCTGAAGCAATTTGTCTGCTATTTCCTCGCCTTCTTCTCTTGGTGAAAAAAGAAACTTCAGTTGGTAGGATGCATCTTTTAACTCAGCAATTGCTTCAGCAGCCATGTTGAATCCCTTGACATTGAAATCTTCACAGCTGTCACCACTTCCAATTACTAAAACTGAGAATGCTCTCCCTTCATCTGTGGCTTGTTCTACTTTCAGAAATTCAGAGAAAACACCTGGGGTGAGATCTAAAATGGTTTCCTCTTTTCTAGCAGAACAAAGGAAGCATTTGTAGGCCTCTGCCACTTTAGGTCCTATTGCTACAACCTCATCAGCCATCTTACATAGTTTTACTTCTGTTTGCTGAGGTCGTTCTCCCACTTCTCCATGAACACTGTGCACAACTTGAATCCATCTACAGTCTTTAGTCATCTTTATGAGAGGAATTTGTCTTCCAAGATGCACTCCATGTCCTATGACACAGTCTACATCATGGTTTTGGGGTAGAGATAACAACCAAAGAATTGGTTCAAAGCCAGGCAGTTCATCTGCTTCAACAAGCTGAATTTTGTGACTTGCAGCATTTCTCTTGTCCTCTTCGCTGCACTTAGGAAGAAACACACTAACCTCCACATTAGGATCCTTAGCTAACTGTATAGCAAGGGTTCTACATATAGTTGAGACTTCTCTATCAGTTGATGATCTCCACTCACTACTCAGCAAAGTGACTTTCAGTCTCCTGTTTTGCTGCCCTTCCTGTGACGAAGAGGCTTCATTTGGAGTGGCTAAATCCTTCAAGAGCAAAACAGCACAAATTTAGAAAAGTTCTCTTTATGGGAATCATGAAATATATTTCATATTAATAAATACATGTAAAAGTTGCAATAAAATATATTTTTTGTCATGTGTTATGTATCAATGAACAACATTCAAGAGAGTATGGAGAGAGAGAAAACAGAAAAGTACATGGTCAGTTTATCTGTGAGCAATTCATGGTTGTTCATCAGTTATTTACATAGCAAGGGAGCACATGATTGGTGATGAGGATAAGCATGGAATTAGCACAGCATGAGCATGGCACAAGATGTCTTGGAGCAAAAATGGAGCTTCAAAGGCAATTCCTACATTCAATTGTCACTCAGAGCCCGCTATGTTGGGATCATGATGGCCTTATTTGCATATGGTAAAGTTCTAATCATTAATGATAGTAAAAACGCAACCACAAGATAAGGAAGAAGAGCTTTGCTACTCCATTTAACAGGCCCACATGTCCCAGAAATCTTCTCTAAACTTGTGAACACTGGCAAAGCAAACAATTACATCTCCAGCATTGAATGGACATTTTCTTCCCAAAGTCAACTCAGTTTTTGTGCATCAGAAATTTCACCAACTCCAACAAAAGGAAGGTGAGACTGTTTTGCAGTCTGTAACTGGATAAAGAAAAGAAGGAAAATATTGCAATTTTGACTTTGACAACCAGATAAGAGACCTTGTCCTGTGCAAAGGTTGGTCAGACTACCGGTATGTAAACCACAAGTTATTTGAAGAAAGGCAAGAGCTAACCCTTGCTTACATGTTAGAACTCCCAGAACAGTATGAAGGGGCAGAGCATCTCATCTCAGTGTGAGTAAGCAAGGTACAGAAGATCCAAATAGGGTTCATGAAAAACCTGGCAGACCTAATGGCAAACAAAAGAGTAAAGGAAACAAACAAGAAAAACATTGCAATAGTTGTGGGTCCAGTGAGCACCTGGGTGGAGATCCAAAATGCCTTGCTGGAGGTCAGACTTGTAGGAAGTGTATAGGAAAAGATCATTTTGCTACTGTCTGCAAAACCAAACCAAAAAATCTTGGGGTTCAATGAGTACAAGAAGAATCACTTGCAAATAGGGATCAAGTTCATTTACTACTTTCAGAATCAGTAATGAGGTCCACTCTAAGTTGTCTATGTGTGGGGTAGAATTAAAGATGTTGGTAGATTCTGGGACCACCAATAACACTGATGATAAGAAACCAGGGAAAATTTGAAAGTTAGGAAGATAAAGACATTGCCAAAGGGTCCTTAGCAAGACCAAGCACTAGACCTCCTACAGCCACTCCCATCTGGACCATCCAGATGTCATCAACTACTATAGCCATTATCATGAGTATGTGGAAGCAACTGATGACCTAGAGGAGATCCTCAGCAGCCCTGATCTCCCCATAACTACGAAGTCCAACAACGGACCGCAATTCTAATGGGGAGAATTCCAAGAACACCATAAGCAGAATGGCATTGTGCATCATAAGACCACACTAAAACCACCCTGGGCCAATAGGGAAGTTCAAAGACAAAATGCACTCCTAATGAAGAGGACCCACATTTCCTAAGCTGTAGGAGATGACTGTAAGAAGGATTAAGAAAATACGTAAGTATGTACTGAGATATTGATCATGCCATGATGAGGAGAAATCTAGGGAATTATAATTATTTAATTGGCAAAATTGCCAGAGCTGCAAGCTGATTGCCATATACAGACTCGTAGGGGTAAAAGAAACGACCAAAGCATATACAGACAAGGCTACAAACACAAAACAATCAGATATTCAAGTTGGTGATCAAGTGCTAGTTAGAGACAAAAAGAAAAAATTCTCCACACCATTCAATCTGATGCCTTCCCAAGTGTTAGCAAGACTGGCAACAGTGTCATTATAGAAACTCCAAGTGGGACCTGATACTCAAGAAATACTTCCCATGTTGAAATATTTGGGATGGATGATCCTGCATCTACATTTAAAACACAATCTGTCTGCCAAGATGAAATTAGAGCACCTGCTACAAAACCAGGTGGAGCTGTGAATGAATTAATACCAGTTGCACCTGCCACTCTACCATGTGAACCTCCTTCTGGGAATACCCCATTAACGCAAGCAGTTCCCATCTGTTCAGATCTTGCAATTGATCAAGCAATAGTGCCTGGCATGCAAGCAACACCAAGCTGTGAAAGACCTTAAGATAGAGAAGGCTGCTGAGAGATACAGGTATAAGGACTTTGTCTTGCAATGATGAACTGATTGTTAACTTTTAAAAATTCATTGAAATTGAAAAATGTTGAGATTGAGAACTTTGTAATAAAGTTTCATTAACCCTTTAACTCCCAAGATCTAATTAGCAATTCTTTTTACTGTCAGCCATACAGTTCTTGTGATGTAAGTTTGGAGAATTTGGTATTGAATTAACTTATAATCCCCTAACTGATGTTTTTCTTTATTCTCATCACTTGTCTGCTTGATATTGTAAGGAGAGATTATTCCTTGGTCACTCATGGGAATTAAAGAGTTAAGGACACCCATGGGGAAATATACTGACAAAGTAGAAAGTCACAAAAGTAAAGGAGTAATTAAGCCACTCACACCTACCCAGGACATAAATGTCTACAGCAAGTGTTGACAGAAAAATGGTAAGATAAGATACTTTAAATTGGTTTTTCATTGAATAACTGTACAATTAAATTCTGTAAGATCCTGACAACAATGAAAAAATTGTCCTTGGTTGAGAATCTGCAGGGACTGAGTTTCAAGATACACAAGGACACACAAAGGTGTAAATGTTGTGCTTCACTTTACAAGGAAAAAAACTCATCCTCATGGCTCTGTAATTAAATTTATGAGTCATTAGTTTTACCTTTGATGGCCCAGACATCACAGGAAACCTTTAATCTTGAATGCAGATGCTAAAAAGAAAAAATTACAATGTCCAGATTAACTTCACCTCACTCAACACAAATAAAGGCTTTTAGGTTACATATTCACAAAACAGGCAGTCTGAGACTGCAGGTGGCTACTGATATGGCATTGGACAAAAATGGAGAGTTCATAGTGAACCTATATGGTAGTGTTGCAAAAGATTTGTATTTACATGCTAAACAAAAAATCTGCCACATCCCATATATTCATGGGTACCCCTCAATTAGCATTTGCCATCTGTGGGTCAAAGGAATATCTTGTAAATATGCAAGAAAGTAAAAATAAAAGTTAAAAAATTGAAAAGTGAGGTGGTTCACAAGAGAAAAAAGGGTGAAAGAATATAGTGACTAGTTGACAATCAACCATTAACTTAATAATACCTAGACACATATTTGTGTTCACCCAGGCTTTCTGTTGGAAATAAACTTTGTTTTTTGTGCTTGCATTTGCCTAAGTTTTTATGCAATTATTGGTTTATCCTGAAACTCTTTTTTCTTTTGGTATGCAATTCCTAAAGAATCAGGTGACAATATAACACCAATGTCAGACCAAAAAAAGACAAAAAACAAATAAAAATGGCACTGTCAGATTTACAGCTGAAAATAATTGATGAAATCTTTGTGGTATCAAATACTTTGCTACTGTTCATCCATCAACAACTAAAAGAAATACTGTCAACATCAAACAACTGTCTATTTGCAGGACTTAGCATTATTACAGTAGGTGATTTGTATTAACTTACACCAATCTGAAGAAAATTTGTCTTTGAAGAATATAAAATAATGTTTACGATTTGTGCCATTCCTGGCTACTTTTCAAGATGATAGAGTTGACTAAAAATATAAGTCAAAAAGATGACCAACCATTCACAGAGTCACTAAATAGATTCAGAACTGCTTCACAAACAGAGGGTGATATTCAATGCATTCAAGGCTTGTGCATCCTAAAGATACTGATTACCCAGTATCCATTGTTTTGTATTTTTGGGACAGTTTTTCTGTATTTCCTGTTTATTTTTCATATCCCTAAATTGTTTTTTCTCCATGAATATTTTTTCTCTGCTGGCTCCATTGCTTTATAGTATTGTTTTTTTCCTATGTTTAATCATTAATTTTTTTCTTTCCTTTCTATTGACCACTTAACATGAACATGTCGCAAACAGTATTCTGTACTGCCCTAGAGTATTATATTTCTCTAGTATTTTTCTAATGGCATCAACAAGTGAAGCCATTCCATTTATGTTTTTAGTGTACTAAATAGAGAACACTTGTCTTTCATTATAGAGCAGGGGGGAATACATATATTTTGATCTTTTGTGGGTTTAAAGGTACAACTGATGCAGTACAAAGAAAATGATTTCAAAAACCCTGTGCATTCACTATTAAATATTATTTCATTCTCAAGAATTGACTTGCTTTGAAGTGAATCAGTTAATTATCCAAATTTACTTCAGTTTCACAAACATTCTGGTTGTGTTCTAAACTTGATTTACGACACTTTTTTTGGCCTCTGTCAACAATGGTGGGTAAGGATGTGTAGTAATTACATGATTTCATTATAGAGTAGCAAAGAGAGTATAGAGCTACAGCACAACTTAGATTAAAGTTTATGGTTTCAGAAACCATCCTATTTTGAATATTCTCAATTTGTGCTCCTCTCACTTCAAATATATCATTATGTATCCTCTGAAAATAATGCACTAAACTATCAAGAGACAGTACTTCAAGAAGAACACATGTACCTTGAGGCTGCCCTCTGCCATACAAATCTCTTACATGAGAATCAAATATTTTGAACCCCATATTACTATTACAGTAATACACCCTGCTATTAATATGAAATTGTTGTAGCTTTCAAATCTGAGTGACTCAAAGGCTCTTGGCGAAGATGTACAGTACTGATTCCCCTCTATAGCAATTTCTTGGCGAACAGTACCAGAGTAGCTTTCATTGTATTCCAGTTGATAATCAGTATCAAACACATTCAATGCAGGGCATGAAATTAATTTTTTTTCTGATAGCCACTTGGCTCCTAAATTCTTCAAAGTAGTAGCCAATTCAAAAAAAGTTGGTCGCCATTTTC